CAACGTTAACCATTATCTCATAATTAATATTTTTTATTATTAAATATAGAGCGTCTAGTCTAAACAATCAAATAAACTAAGAGTAAAAAAAAAAAAGAAAAAGATGGACAGAACGGAGCAAGGAAGGCAAAGAGGCAGATCGGCAAGATGGACAGCATGGAGCAGGGAAGGTGATATCAACAATCGACATGAGCGATGGTAGCAACAGGGGACATCCATCAGCTATCAACGAAGAGGAAGACAGTTTTGGGGGATATGACCAAAGTTTGCTGAAGCAAGCCACAGCTTTTCACTTCTCAAACTTCTCGGAAGAATGAAGCTATGAGGAAATGTGGGGGACGTTCATCAAATATGGCAGGGTGTATGCGATTTATGTACCGGAGAGAAGAAACAGATCTGGAGAAAGATTTGGGTTCGTCCACTTTCTTGAGGTGACTAACGAAAGGAGGCTAGAAAAACAACTCGAGCAACTCAGAATTGGCAACCACAAGCTTCATGTAAATGTTCCCAAATTCAACAAGGGTAGTGACTTGCATCAATTGGGGATAGGCAACCATCAACAACAGTTGATCTCAAACGCAAGGCCAACCAAATCATATGCAGAAGCAGTAAATGGTGGGGTGAACAGGTAGACCATACACTATTAGAAAACACAATATAATCGATAGAAAATACTGTCGATTATACAAGTATTTCTGTCCATTATATCTTAATCGACAAACATAATCAACAACAATTTTTGATGTAAAAACAGTAGTCGAAAATGATTATAATCAACAGAAATTTTTTCTGTCAAATATAATTATATAATCGACAGCCAATGGCTGTCGAATATACTTGGTAAAAAAATAAAAAAAAAAATACAAAATTTAGTAAAATCCAAAATTATATTTATAATTTTTTTGTTAATTAAATTATATAAAAATAATAATAAAACCAAATTCAACACAATTATCAAACCCCCAAACAATATATTTATGAAATAATTTTAAGAGTAATATAATATAAGATATAGTAGATAAACATAAATAAAACTAAAATAAGAATTCTAACCTTAATTAGTTTTTCTATCAATATCCTACCAAAAATAAGAAAAAAAAGTGCATTGGTATACATTATGACTTTATTAAAAGAAAAGAAAATAAAAAGTATAATCAAATTAAAAAAAAATTACCTCTTAATTATTGTATTCAAATCTGCACAAAAAAGAAAAAAAGAAGAAGGAACTATTAATATATAAAATAATAAAAATTTTTAATTTAAACTAAATTGAAGCAGTTGGATGATGCATAAAAAAAATAACTGCATTGACTGAGAAGGATGAAGAGAAAGATGATGATGGACTATCAACAAAAGAAGATAATGGAATAAGTATAAACGAAAACTAAAATAAAACTAGAGATATTTACAAAAATACAAATGGGAGAGTATAAAAAATGAAAGAAAAAGGAAAAATAAAAGGAGAAAAAGTTGAGAGAAAAATTAGGACGTTTTGCTTGTGAGAAAGAAGGAGAAAGGAGGAGATAACCAGAGATGAAAAAAAAAGAAGACAATGGGATGTTTTGATTTTGAAACCCTTATCTAATAAAAATATATTCGATAAAAATTTTGTTAATTATATTGAAATAAGACTGTCGAATTTATTTCAAATTAAATTAGCCGGGAGATTTAATTTTTTTTGGGTGAATGGATTGATTTCAAGTATAATCGACAGTCATTGTGACTGTCGATTATACTTGCTGTAATCGACAAAAATAGCTGTCGATTATACATTATAGCCAGTATAATTGACAGCTTTTT